TATAAAAAACGTGCTTGCCCACTCAATAATTTAATTCTCGTTTATTTTTTTAATTATAATTATTATTGTTTGTTTTTAGTATTTGATTATTATTTTTAATTTGGTAAACAATTTGGATGTAACGTTAAAGCAAATGTTGTTCATTTTTTTTCTCTTGCATAACATATATATTTTTTAATTTTTTTTGAATTGTTTTTTTTTTTTTTTTTTGGGGGGGGGGGGTCACGTTTGGCCGAACAACCGAACACGTTGAAAGGGGGTGTCGAACGTTTGGGCGTTCGGGTTCGGGCGTTCGGCCCGTCCTGAACGCCGGCAACCCTGAAAGTCATGACGTTTTCTCCATTCGATGTGTTACCAATATTCGATTTAGTAATTGCCTAATATTTTGTTTGCTACCTAGGCTATCAACTGGACGGGCAAAGTCACGTTGCTTGATAGATGGTAGAGTCATGCAAGGGCCAAACAAGGTCTCACCCCCCCCAAAAAAAAACCACAAAATCGAAAAAAAAATTATATTAGGCAGCAAAATAAACTGAGTAACTTTTGCCTCAGGGTCACATCAATTTTTTTTACAAAATTTAAAATAAAAATAGTGTTTTTTGTGCTGAGTCGGCAACTAGTCTTGAATCACTATAGTAGTCTAGTTTGCTATCTTATTTGCGATATTTACGGGGGTTCATTTTCCTTTATAGTAAAAGCATGTTAATCCAAATAGACTATTATATACATATTTGTTAGTTTATGATAAAAAGTTGTTAATGTTTTTATTTTATATTTTTTTATTGTTATCACGAGTAAGCAGAGTTTATTTATTTTCGATCATAAAGTGTAAAGTTATAAATAGATCAAGGTTTCATATTAAAAGGAGCCAAGAGAAAATTTCAAAAATATTATATACGATCAGTACTGTGATAATAAATTATACAATTTAATGTATGATAGGATTTACTTATATTTTGGATGGGGTGTGCATTTCATCATATATGGATAATATAGTATAAGTTTGATTATTATTTTTTAATAAATAAATAAAAATTATATTCGTAAAAAATTTAAGGATGTCCGTATTAAATAAAAATGTTGTATAATATGTTTGCAAAATTTATATTGTGTATTTATTGTAGTTTTATTATCGGTTAACTATATCATTGACACTTCAGTTATATGTTATTAAACCACCACTACTCTGAGTCTGTTTTTGTTGACCCTTATTTTCCCTCTGCACAGAGCTTTGTGGAGTCTGAGTTTTGTTTTTTTTTATTTTTTAGTACTCTCATGAAAGAAAAATAAAGAAGTAAGACCAGACTTAAGAAAAAATGATCCACTCGCAGCAGAAAAAAAATAAGAAAAAAAAAACACTCCTTTGGACGTGATACCTTGTAAATACATAGCCTGAAGTTGTTATGTGAGTATGCCCTTAGAGTGAAAGCGTTACGACAAGGATGTCCGGTCCACGAAAGAACAACAGAAAAATTTTCATAATAAATGAAAAATAAAAAATATTCTATATAATAAAAAAAAATCTTCACATTTGAAAATTATTATTTTTATTTTCGTTAAATTCTAAATTTTAAAATTTTTAGTTTTATTTGACAAGTTTTCATCAAAAAAATCAGATTTCCCTTCCACCTACATATATTTGTTAAATATGGAATAAAAGTCTTGACCTACGTAGCACCTCCGAATGTGAACATGTTCGTCCGAATGCGAACAAGCGTCAAAAACCCTCTTAACGGGAACATAAAAAATATTAAAAATAGACAAAAGTTATGAGAAAAATATGAAAACAATATATGTTATGTAAAATAACAATACAAACAACTTTTGCCTTAGAATCATGTTCAAATTTGTAGGCAATCATGAGTTCAAAATCAAAAACCGAATTTTTTTTATTTTTTTTACTAAACATGTTCGTGAGTTGTTCCCGCGAACGTGAAGGGACACGAACACGTTCGCCGTGCTACGCAGGTTTGGACGAGTTTATTAAATATTTGAATTAAACTTTTATTTTTTTACAATAAATACTTTATAATTAAGTTTAAATTAACCTATTTATGACTGTAAATTCTTATATAGAATAACAATTCAATTATAATAATTCATTAACTCATTCAGACTTTCATTTCATCTCTAGCATGTGGGTGAAATAAGAAGGGATAACCCATTTTTATAATAAGATTTTTCAAGTAAGAAGAAAAAAAAAAAAAGTGTAATGACATTTTTTTAGATGAAATATATATATATATTTTTAAGAATATAATTTGACTATGGAACGATTATTTAAATCTATGAATTTATTTTGTTGAAGGAAAAAAGGAAAAAAAAATAAAACTGAACTTAAGGCGGGAAACGGGTACATTCATTCTGCAAAGTGATAGCCCTCCTGCACAAAGTGTCAGCAACCCGTGGACTGCACCGTGCCGCCCAGACTGGACACAAAACCAAAAAAAAGAAGGAAAACAAAAAACAGAAACAATGAAAATATGAAAATGACCACTATAGCGATGAGATAAAAACAAGTGAGTTTTTGTGTGAGTACGGCTTGATGCATGACGTTCCCCAACATGATTTTTTTTTTTTTTTTTTTTTTTCCGAATGAGATATTAAGGTTCAGCTGCCGAGTCTCGTCCAACCCCCGAAAAGTTCAAAAAAAATGGAAAACCTTCAGTTTTTTCATTTGTTACAAGAGTGACAGATACAGTGTTAGTTCAAGTTTTTTTTTTCATTTTTATAAGGTGTCTCTTCTTCCATAGGTTATCACTCATTGTATATTTTGATGCCCTACTTAACTACAACACATACTTAAAATTGTTTTAATATATTATGTTAGTAATCATTGTTAAAACCAATTATATTATCTCGATACCGATAATAAAGTATAAATAAATAATAATAAGATAATTGATATTATATGACAGAAAATTTATTACACATGTAGCTTTTTTATTTCATATTTAATTTTTTTTTTTTAAATTATGGTTGTTAATGTTTATCTTAGTACAATGAAGGATAATAAGGTTGTGATATCTTATTATTGTGTCGATATTTATAAGAGAAAATATTAAAAAATTTACCATTTCGTATTAACATCAATATAGGTTATTATATGCAAAATGTTTACCTACTTTATAAGGTATAATATATATATATATTTTAATAAACGTTATTTAAAACTTATTAAGATGAATATTCAACTTTATTTACAATAAACATTGGTTGTAAGTTGTCCAATCGGCGACTGATTTGACAAAACTAATAATTCGATTGAACTTTGTTCACATTTGTTCGTGTATCAAATTTTTAATTACTGCAAATTATTGTTTTTATTTCATACTTAAAATTTTGAAGTAAATCTTTTATCGTCACATTGGTTTCCTAAACAATATTTAACATAAAAATGAAAAACGTAAGAATTGTGAGATAATTTAACATAGGTTCTTAAAAAAATGCAATATTATGAATGATCATGAAGTCACTAAAGCAACTATTTCACTTGCGAGGGCGGAAGGAAGACATGACAAACCTAAATAAAAAAAAAAAAAAAAAGAACAGTACTTCGAGACATTCATTAAAATTTGAACATTTTAGAGAAGATTAGCATGACCCCTCTGCAATGGGGATACATATAAATTGAGAAATTATCTTAAATAATAATAATAATAATAAAATAAATAAATAAACCTTCCCCCAATTGCACTCTGGGCACCCTACTTGCTAGAAAGGTGGATTATATATATTGCCTAAACCGCAATTCAAAACTGTATCTTGATCCAAATGCAATTAGAAATCGCTTTTGTAACTCCCGTGTAGTTTTTCCAAGAAACAGAGGGACTCTCGTATATGAGACTCGTTACTACCGTGTGGCCAAGCGGAAAAGATGACCCATAGGCTCGGGTGAGCTGGTGGCCCAGACAAGTTTGTGGAGCACGAGCCCTTACCTCTGAGCTGGTTCCATTTTTACCCTCCACTTCCCGAAATGGCCTAGGGCTGCAATCGCCACCTCCGAGGATGGGTGCTCCACAAATTGCCTTTCATGAAATGAAGGGTTCCAGAGGTGACTTTGCATGGGGTCCCAATTTAACCATCAGTACTTGGCCCAGCTATAGGGCGTGGGAAAAAATAGAGTAGAAGCATTTTTTGTCGGATGAATTTGGGCGCTCCTATAGTGGCTCGTACATTTCCTAAAATAGTGGCTTGTTAACGGGCACAATTTTTTTTTTTTTGTTGTTTTTTTTTGTTTTAGAAGGGCGACGGCCTTCAGATATTATCATTGAGCTGACCGGCCCCAAGCAATTCATTAGTAGTTGGTTTTACTTGTCGAGTTCCATGATTTGGATTCGAACACAGGTCTGTATTTCAACAGTTCATGGGTGTACCCACTGAGTTAGGCTCTGGGGTACGGGCACAATTTTAGGAAGTACTGTTGGTTTTACGATTCCCAGTTTATTTATAATAAAGAAGAAGATTGCAGGCCAGTTTATTTATAATAAAGAAGAAGATTGCAGGAAGTGGCACTATGGTCCTAACGAGGGGAGTAGCAGTGGACGAGGTCTCAGTCCCCTGGTTTCTACTTTTCGAGCCATCGATGCTGGTAATCTACGGGACAAAATGAAAAACAGAGAATCGAGGTAAGTGGGACCTCCGCCAATCTCAACTTTTTGAGCATCTTAGGGGTGGCGTGCTAAACACCGTAGATTCCTGCCCTGGATAAGCCTGCAGCGACAGTGCAGATGATTGCCGGCCGTTGGATCGATTCCGTTCAAGGTTGGCATCTCTGTATCGGTGGTGCGGAAAACCGGTGCCTGGGAGCTCACACTTTTACACGTGTCCATTTCTGATGCGAAGACAGTCTGTGGCCGCGCGTCTACGGTATAGCAAGGGAGCACGTTCGTGGTTCGTGCAGCTGGGCGGGAGGACTGGAGGGTGGGGAAGGGAAGGAATAGGGACTGGAGGGGAGGACGGGACCGCGGGGTACGCAGGAATGCGGACATGGGGTTCGTCCTGTAGGAAGGAGGTAACATTTGATGCTAACTTGTCGCATGCAGGGTGTGAGCGGCAAGGGCATCGCCAATCGTTGGCGAGGTTGATGCAAGGTATGCTGCACACCTGTGGTACGGTGATTGCAAAGACCATCGAGACTACTATCACGTGGTGTTGCGGATAGGCATCATAATCGATCAACCTCTCCCTCTCTCTCTCTCTCTCTCTCTCTCTCTCTCTCTCTCTCTCTCCAGCACCCGCAACCGCACAACCTTGCCCGTTTCTCTTCCTCTCTCTCGCCTTCCCCTCTCCTCACTCTGTACCCGACTGCTTGCCTGCCCGGCTGTTTCTGGTGGATTTGTCTATTCCACATTGTCTTCTGGGCGAAAGCGCGCCCCCCCTCCCCCTCCTATCTCGTCCTATCATCACCTCACTTCTGTTACTATTCATCTCCTTGTCTTCTTCCTCTCCTCCCGTCTTTACCGTCTCCTCGTTCGTCAGTCCTCTTCCAGCCCTCCCGCTCTGTCCGGTCCTCCTCTCGTTTTCAGATTTGACTCCCTTAATCTCCGGGAGGTTCTCGGAGAGAGCCGACGACACCGTTGGCTGCCCTTTGTCAGGCGATATCAATGCCGTTGAGAGGGGAAAGTGGTCGGAGGAGGGGAGAGGAGAGGGGAGGGAGAGGAGAGGGGTGACAACTGTAAAAGCTTTCGGCTATGGTGTGAACCGCAGATTCCTTAGCTGCGGTAACGGTAATTCCTCAGTTGCCGTGAGGCATTGGAACACCGGCCGAGCCACGCAACGTGGCGATCGAGAGATTGCACGTCGAGTGATTTCCAATCCACAAGCACGCATGCTCAGTGATGGGGGAATGGCTGGACCCATGCCATCTGTCAGACGCTGCAGCGCACGTGCTGTTACCGACCTGGCGGGAAATCAAATTCTCCTTGGCGTCGGCAACGTTAGTGGTGGCTCTCTATTGCCTACTTACGAAGGCATGGGAAGGTACGGCGATGGCTTTCGGCGATCGGAGGGGGAGGAGAGGAGTGGGGGTGGACAAATCGGGCCTGCTCGTCGGCGGCGATGGCGCGAAGAGGGGTAGCATCCGCGCAGAGAGGCGGGGAAGTTCCGTCGACCTGGATGAGATGGGCTGTCAGTACTCTATCTGTCTCGATCTCCTAGCGGCGCGCAATTTGGTGGGGGCGAATTTGAATGGCACGTCAGATCCGTACGCGGTGCTGACGTGTGGGAGCCAAAAACGTTTTAGCTCCGTTGCGCCGGGGACGCGGAACCCGTTATGGGGGGAGCAGTTCCACTTTGTGGCCGATGAGCTGCCTGTGAATGTCGAGATCGCAATCTACGATTGGGATATCATTTGGAAGAGTACGAGTCTGGGGAGAGTGGTGCTGTCGATATCGTCGACGGGATCGGAGGAACCCCATTGGCGGTCTTTGGACCGGGCGTCGGGACAGGTGTACGTCCAGATAGCGACGAAGGCCATAGCGCCGGACTCGTCGGAAGGTGCGCTGATTGCGGCGGACAATGCGCGGGCCTCTCGAAGGCGGAGCGGCGGGCTGGGAGGCGGCGATGGCGGCGGCGGCGGCGGCGGCGGCTTTGGGGAAAGAGGGGCGACGGAGGTGCGGCAGAAACCGGGCCCTCTGCAGACTATCTTCAACTTGCCCCCTGACGAGATCGTCCTCCATAGCTTTTCTTGTGCCCTGGAGCGGTCTTTTCTTTACCACGGGCGCATGTACGTTTCCACTCACAGCATCTGTTTTCACTCGAATGTCTTTGCGAAGCATCTTAAGATTGTCCTCCCCTATGAAGATGTGCACGAAGTCCGACGCAGCCAGCACGCGCTCATTAATCCTGCCATTACGATTGTGTTGAAAGCCGGTTGTGGCGGTCACGGTGTACCTCCCCTCGGCTACAAGGACGGCAAGGTAATGTATAAATTTGCTTCTTTCTGGAATCGTAATCACACGTACAGGGTTTTGACTCGATCGCACAAAAATTTTCTGGCCGCGGAGGAGGCGCATGCGCTCGATGAGCGGCAGCAGTCGATTCTCCGCGAGGCGGCGCACGGTTTCCCGCTGTTGTCGTCGCGACATCTGGCGGGCGGTTCGTACCTTTCCGCCGAGGCCGTAATCGAGGCGGCGAAGACGCCCCCGCGGCCGCGCGCACCGGCGCCGGTGGCCACGCGGCCTTTCCTGAACGAGAGTGTTCTGATTGATCTGTTTGAGAGGAGCATGACGTGCACGGCGCAGACGTTCTTCACTGTGCTGCTGAGTAATGACTCTGACTTCACGGGGAGGTACAGAGCTACGCGCAAGGATACGGAGCTGAAGATGGAGCCATGGCACACCACGGAGGAGTATGGGGGATTGCTGAGGCGGACGACCTTTCGGACAATCTGTACGAGCCCGATGTGTCCGCCCGACAGTGCCATCACTGATTGGCAGCACGTGACGTTGTCGACGGATGAGAAGACGTTGACTTTGGAGTCGATTCAGCAGGCGCACGATGTGCCCTTTGGTTCCTACTTCGAGGTTCAAGGGAGGTGGGTGGTGCAGACTGTGGGGGAGGCAGAGTGCAAGGTATTCGTGAAAACGGGGGTGAATTTCAAGAAATGGTGCGTCATGCAGTCGAAGATTAAAGCGAGCGCGATTGCGGAGTTCAAGGCGGACGCGCAGACGTGGATTAACCTAGCGACGGAGGAGATTCAGGCGGCGGCGAGAAGAGGTGAGACGGGGACCGGGGGGGGGAGGTCGATAGGCGCAGGCTCGTCTTCGTCGAGCACTGTGACGTCGTCAGCGTCCTTCTCTTTTTCGTCAGGGTATGCCTCAAGCGCGCCGACCGCCAGCGTCGGCGCGTGACCGGTTATGCTGGATTCTCATGCTTTTTTTTTTCTCTCTCTCTCTCTCTCTTTAGGGACTCGTTGTGCAGGCAACCGTAGGTTAATTGAGAGAGAGAGAGAGAGAGAGAGAGAGAGAGAGAGAGAGAGAGAGAGAGAGAGGATGGGAGGTTTTGCGGGAGAAAAGCGGTCACTGCGCTGTGTACAGGACGGGATTGTTGTTTTCGTGTACGTGGGAGTGGGTCATGTGTGTATAAATGAGCCGGTTGTCTTGCGTTGTGCGTGTGTGTGTGTGTGTGTGTGTGTGTGTGTGTGTGTGTG